CATGAGCCAAGGAGCGCAGCCACCTCTAGATCCTGCAAGAGGCAAGCAAACGGACTCTCCCCGCGAGGCCTCTAGAGAAGGAGCAGAGTCCCGAGTTCCCAGGTTAGACTTCCCACCTCCAGGACAGCAAGATACCAAAATGTGCATTATTTTAAGTCCTCAACTTGCAGTAATTTGTTGCAACAGTCACAGGGAATGAACGCAACGGTCTGGGCGGGAGGGGAGGAAGGTGGCCGGTGCTCTGCTCCTGGATCCCACCAGGACTGGCTACATCCTTCCTGGAGGGCCCAGTGCAAAAGAAAATGCAGGGCCCGGGTTCAAAACTTATTAAGCATTTCAGAACGGTGCCGGCAGAGCATTCCACCGAGCGTGGGGCCCTTCTGAGCATGGGGCGGCGTGCACAGCAGAGCCCGCCCTGAGTCCCACAAAGAACCATCGCGTTACACGGTGAGCCTAGGCCAAGAAGTGAAAGGACAGGGGCCCCTGAGAGTGACAGTGGATGGGGCCCGAGAGCCCTTTGAGAGGTGACACTTGCTTTGGCCCAGATTAAAGGGAGTGGGTAAGAGTGTTCCAGGTGGGGGAGGGTTTGGTTCCCTGCTTCCTCACCCAGAGACAGCTGCTCCCTCGGTGAGGAACTTTTCTCTCCAAGGACCCAACACTCCCCCTTTCCCCGCCGCCCCCAGGGCACCTTGCCTTGACTCCCTGGACTCAGCATCTCCCTTCCCTGTTTAACTATAGCTCCCATCCTTTTTAATGTTTGCAAACAAACTTTATTTGGGAAAGATTATGGATTTACAGAAGAGTTGCCAAGAGAGGAGAGCATGCGGCACCCCTTTGACCCAGCTTTCCCTAAACCTAACGCCTCGTGGAACTTTCTCAAAACTAAGACCTTAACATTAGGACGTTACTATTAACTACACTCCAGACCTCATTCAGAGTTCCCGTTTTTCCACGAATGTCCTTTTTCTCTTCCAGGACCCAGTCCAGAGTACGACACTGCATTCAGCTCCCCTTCGCATCCTGAAAATTAGTACCCGACTGTTACAACAGGTCAGGCCCTGTGCCTAGGACTTCATACCCTTGGCCTCCTGGAATTCTCATCATTATCATGACCCCTGTTTTGCAGATAAGGAAAATGAGGCCGATCTTAAGTAACAAGAAGGCCTTCAGGGACCCCCCACTGAATCTGGCTCCTAGCTCGCCATTGCAAGTCCCCCCACCATGTTCCCCTGTCAGGCTCCTACCCTATCTCAGGGCTTCCCAAACTTGAGTCCTGTGTGGTGTTTCCTCCTGTGCTCTTTCTTTGCTTTTTTCTTTAAACCAACTCATTTTTTAAAACAAAACAACATCCCTAAAGGACCTGCCACACATCTATCACGGTGGAAAGCCTCAGCTATTGGCCAGAAAGAGATGTTAACTGTGCAAGGAGAGACAATGAAGAGCAGGCGATGTCATGCATTCCAGCAAATGCTGGTGTCCACGCTCGGGGCGACTGAAACCTCAGCAAAGGACTTCGCTGCTGAGTGACCCAGGGATGGAGCACCCTCCCTGCCCCCACCATGACCAGGCAACACAATCACGGGAAAACCTGGCGGGCGAACCCAGCTGAGTCTACATAGCCCATGGCAGCGAGGAAGGGACTCAGCAGAAGCAAACACCAAATAGCTCCCCATTTATTAAGCACCTGCTGCACACCAGGCACCATGCCACTGTCTCACGAAGTTGGTCCTGTTTAATATCCCTGTTGCCCAGATGCGAAAACGGAGGCTCAGAGAGGTTACACAGCTAGCCTATGGACGCACAGGAGTCAGGACTATGTCTCTAAGTGGGTGCCTCAAGTCTCTTCCTGAGTTGGAGCGTGTTGCTGGGTGATCAGTTCCCATTCATTAAACACCCACCTCCGGGCAGCTGACATTGTGTCACGTGGGTCTTGGGATGACCCTGAGCCTAGGTGCTGGGAGTTTTCCCAGTTTACAGATGAGTCAACCAAGGATCAGAGAGGGTGGATATCTTGCCCAAGGCAAGAAAGAACGTGGTATGACCAGGCCTCTACCCCAGAGCAGCTGGACCCCCAAGCAAGAACTGCCTGAGCCACACATCTGGTGTTCCTGGAACACACAAAAATCTCAGGATGTTCAAGAAAGAGATGCCAAGAGTCTGTTGGCCCCCAGCAGCCTCAGGCACAGGTAGCTTTGGGCCAATCAGGGTAGGAAAAAATGTGTCTTCCCCTCCACAGGTAAATTAGGGAGTGATATTTGACTTAACAAAAGTCTTCGAGAATGAGCTGGGGTTTGAAGATGAATATCTGATTCACTTTTCAAAACACGAACATTTTCTGGGCCCCTGAGGTTTTGGCTTCCAAGGGCTTAGGCCAGGGGGCAACCAGTTACAGCCTGGGAGCCAGATTCAGCCCACTGCACTTTTTTTTTTAATGTGGTAGCATTTAATAGAACATGAAATCTACCCTCTCAACACATCGTTCGGTGCACAAGACACTATTGTTAACTCTAGGCAGGATGTTGTACAGATTTTTAGAATGTACTCATTTGGCCTGACCGAAAATTTATAGACCCATTGGACAGCAAATTCCCCGTTCCCCGGGGCCCCAGGCCCCGGCAACCATCACCCTACTCTCTGCTTCTGTGAGTCTGACTACTTTGATGCCTCATATGAGTAGACTCACATAGTATTTGTCTTTCTGTGACTGGCTTTATGCTATATAGCACACTGTCCTGCAGGTGCATTCAAATCGTTGCATATACGCCAGGATTTCCCTCTCTTTGTAAGGCTGCAGCTCACTCCATTGTATGTCTACACCACATTTTTTTTTTAAAGATTTTATTTATTTGAAAGAGAGAATGAGAGAGAGAGAGAGAGAGCATGAGAGGGGGGGGGGGGTCAGAGGGAGAAGCAGACTCCCCGCTGAGCAGGGAGCCCGATGCGGGACTCGATCCCGGGACTCCAGGATCATGACCTGAGCCGAAGGCAGTCGCTCAACCAACTGAGCCACCCAGGCGCCCTGCACCACATTTTCTTTATCGGTCCATCGGTCCCTTGGGGAGTTTCCACATGTTGGCGATTGGGAATAGTACGGCCATGAACAGGGGAGTGCAGACAGCTCTTTGAGATCCTGGCTTCAATCCCTCTGGATGTATATATGCCCAGAAAGGGCATACTGGATCAGGTGGTAGTTCGATTTTTAATTTTTTGAGGAGACTCCAGACCATTTCTCCAGCAGCTGTCCCATTGTATATCCCCACCTGCAGTGCACAGGTTACAATTACTCCACATCCTCGCCAACCCTAGTTTTTTGGTTTTTTAGAGCCGCCATCCTCGTGGGTGCAAGGTGATACCTCACTGTGGTTTGGATTTGCATTTCCCTGCTGATGAGTGATGCTGAACATTTTTTCATGTATCCGTTGGCCAGGTGTGTCTTCTTCGGAGCAATGTCTACTCGAGTATTCTGCCCATGTTTTCATCGGGTTGCTTGTTGTTTTGCTATTGAACTGCAGGAATCCTTATGTATTTTGGATATCAGCCCTTATCAGATATGAGGTCTGCAGACATCTCTCCTGCTCTGTAGGTTGCCTTTCCAGTTTATTATTGATTATTTCTTTGGCTGTGATATTTTTGAAAATAAAGTTTTAAAATGTTTTTTTAGATTAAAAACATTCAGGGGGCTAGAAGTGACATATAATATTGTGTAAGTGCAAGGCACACGGGTGCTGGTGTAACACGTTTCTATACTGCAACATGATTACTACAGTAGCCTTAGCTAACCCCTTTATCACATCACATATTTCTCACTTCTTTGTGGTATTGATGTTAATAAAGTTTTATTGAAACACAGTCACACCCATTTTTGTATACATGCTCTCTGCGGCTGCTTTGGACCTTCAGTGGCAGAGCGGAGTCTTTGCTACAGAGACCATACAGCTGGCAAAGCTTGAGATATTTACTATGTGGCACTTTACAGGAGGCTTGCCAACCCCTGTCCTAGCCCTCCGGGGCTTCAGGGAAGTGAGGCCAGGGCACCGTACTTGTGCTAAGAATATGTTCGAAGCCAACAGGGTAAAGTTACACTGAGTAGGGGAAGAACGGAGGAAGGGAACACCATTCTGATTCTTGAGCATCAGAGAGACTTCAAGAGAGAATAAAGAGGGACCCTGAACACAGGGTCCCGTTCCAAACAGCCCCAACTTCCAGAACCTCGAGGGGGCCCCTGATACCCACCCCACATCATCTGTTTCTGTCAGGGCCAGCTGACCACAGCATCGACTCCTCCATCAACCTGACAGGATTTAGGCTTAAACAGAAATTAAATAAATTTATAGAAAATTTGAATTCCAACACACCTGAGTCTGGCGCTGTGTCTTACACACCCACCCACGTCCACCTTAGTGAAAGAGCAATCGTGTGACAGAAGTCATGGTGACTCGTATTTCAGGAATGTCTCCACGGAGTTAAGGCAGACACACAAATGAGATCCTCTGCTCCCTGTTCTCTCCAAAGCAACCACCAACCTCATCTTGTCCTCACCAGGAGGAGGCAGGAAGGTTATCATCCCCATTTCACAGGTGAACAAAGTGAGGCACAGGGGCTGTTTATTCAGTAAAACCAGCCCCTAAAGCCATGGTGAGTAGAACCTTCTAGAAAAAGCCCTCCCTAGGCAGGAAGTGAGACAGCCTCTGAACTGAGAGCTAGTGTCTGGCATGCTGTTTGTTTTGGGGAGGTGGTGTCCCTCTCTGCTGGTGTCATCCGTGCAGCATGGGGGGCGGGAGGCAGTCGTGGGATGGGGGATGCAATCCTGTGGACTACTATACTCTGCGGTCCTCACACTCAGGGCTTCCAGGAAGTGAAGCCAAAGATTCAGGCAGTGCAGGAGGCCCAAGTTGGCTCCAAGGGGGACTCTCCATTCGGCAACCTCATGCACAGTGCCAGGGATCTAACTGATGCTCATGTATTTTAAGGCAACCCCTCCCCCCCACCCAGCTCCCAGCTGATGCACACTCAGGACTCCAGCCTACCAGAGCTCCCCTTGCTGCCCGCCCTAAGCCATGGGCTGGGGCGTGGCAGGGGGATGGGGAGAGACTCCACTGTGCTTAATGAGTAGCTTCCATCAGACCAGGGTCCCTGCCACAGAGGGAAGACAGACGCCAGACTGACCAAGGAGGGGCTCCCAGTGGCTCTGGGGTTCACACGCTGCCACCTGGGTCCTAGTCCAGACTCATGCGCTTTCTGGAAGCCCACTGACACCACCAACTCACTCTTGTTGCTTGCCTACTTCATGCCAGGCCCTGGGCACAGTTGATCTCATGTAATCCTCCCAACAGCCCAAGGTCGGAGCTATTATTACCCCTGTTTCATTGATAGAGGAAATGAAACAGAGACGTTGAGTAACTTCCCCAAGGTCACACCGCGAAGAGAGGCTGAAGTGGGACTCAATGTGAGACTCAAGCCAAAGCTGCTACTTTAAAACATGCTTTGTTTTGAAGATGCTACATTTCTACTTACTTTGAAATTTTGGAAAAGTAGTAAGTTCACCTGGGTCGAAAAGAAAAAAAAAGGAAAAGGGCAATGAACAAATCTGCATCCTCCCCAAGTCCCCCATCTACTCTGTTTCGCCCCCCCCTCCATAGGCAATACTTAGCCATTCAGTGGGTAGCTGCAGTTTCTTTATGTAAAGAGAAGCTAATACAAATGTAGACCTATCTTGCTCTTTTTACGCAAAAAGGTATATACCGTATGCTGTCTGAACCTTGCTTTACTCACCTAATAAAGCTTAGAGATGGTTCCTCCCTGTTCTTTACCGCTGCATATACAGTATTCCATTATATGGACTGCGCCAGTTTCTTTAATCAGCTCCCCACTAATGGGGCTTTAGGCTGTTTTCACGCCTTCGCTTTTAGAAACAATGTGGCAAAGGATAACCTTGTACATAAATAACGTGCCACAAGTCTCCATTTATCTGTAGGACTGCTGCTGGGCTGCAGCCCAGCTGGGACAGAGGGTTTCTGCATTTGTAATTGGGACAGATGCTGCCAAAGGAGACCAATTTCCAAACACAGCGCCGTCCCAGCCGCAAAGCCCTCAGGAGCCGAGCTCTGGGTGGGTGCGGAGAGCTGGGGAAGTACCGCCTCCAGGGGGCGGGGCCTGGGGCGTGGGCGGGGCGGGGCCTGGCTGTCGAAAGACCGCCTCCCCGCTCTGATGGGCGCCCCCTGGCCCCGCTACCATCTCACCAGCTCAGCAGCTCACCCCACCTGCTTCCTCTAAATTTTCCTGTGATGGCTTAACTGTCATGGCAGCACGTGGCCTTAAACGCACACGATGAGCTAGCACACAGCCACGACAGGTGAGCAAGACGGCGGGGGCGAGCGCCAAGATGTGTTACAAAGGGAGCCAAATGGGAAAACATGCGGCCGGGAAAGGGGAGCCTCCGCCACCCTGTGCGTCCCCCAGGGATGCTCTGCAACGGGGCGAGGTGTCATTTACTGGACTTTCCCTGACGAGCTGAACCATTAAACAAGAACACCGAGCCGCCTTGCCACGTACCCTGGACACTTTCTAATCAGCAGGGCATTTGTGGCAGCTCGTCCCTGGGCCAGGGCCCCATGCAAAGGGTTTCACGTGCATTATCCCAGTTAAGCCTCCAGCCACCCATGAGGTCAGTTCTATTATTACCCTCGTTCTCCGTCCGCCGAAAGAGGACACAGGTGAGGTAATCGCCAAGCCCCATGTCCCACAGAAAGTTTGTTTGGATCATCAGCGCCACAGATCATTAGCAGGACATGTGAAGGGGGTGGGTAATGGGGCTAAAAATATTTATTTGGAGCACATTCTCAGGGCAGCTCAAATTCCCATCCAGACACCCACCTCCTGTTACAGTAGCTTTGGGGACAGGGAAGGCTTGGTGAGTGAGGGGACATAACATCCCAGTTCCTCTTTTATGATATGCATGGGTTTACTATTTGATAAAAGTAATTCATGCCTATGGCAGAAAAACTGGAACATATGGGGAGAAAATGAAATTGATCCATAAACCCACCACCCAGGGGAAGCCTCTATTAACCTCATGGTAGAGCAGCGGCCAGGCTGTTTTCAGCACGTGCATACATGATAATACATTAATGGGAGTATAACACATGTGCAGAAAAGAACATGGTTCAGAAATGTGTAGCTTTCTGAATTTTCAGAGCTCAATCTCCCACGTAATGAGCATCCAGATGAAGAGACACAACATGACCATGCGTGTGTTTTCTAAACCAAATCAGTATCTTGTGGGGTTGTGGCTTGCATTATGTCCCCCCAGAAAGGTATGTTGAACTCCTGACTACAGGTACCTTATTTGGAAATAGGGTCTTCGCTGATAGAATCAAGTCAAGGTGGGATCATCCTGGATGAGGGTGGGCCATGATCCAGTAACTGGGATCCTTCTAAGAAGACACACAGAGGGAAGAAGCCTCATGTTAACAGACGCAGAGCATGGAAGGATGCAGCTACAAACCTAGGAACGCTAAGGATTGTTGCAACCCCCAGAAGCTAGAAGAGGCAAGGAAGGATTCCTCCTAGAGTATTCCGAGAGCACAGGCCCTGCCAACACCTTGATTTCAGACTTACAGCCTACAGAGTTCTGTGAGAATCAATTTCCATTGTTTTAAGCCACACTGTTTCTGTCAATTTGTTATGGCAGCCTGGGGAAACCAACACTTGTGGTGTGTGCTGTTTAATATTGTTTCTGGTTATGAAAGTCACACGAGTTTGCCGCCTCTCACCTGAACACATGCTCCAGCTCCTGGACTGATGATCTAAGAATGTCACCTGCAGCTGGGTGACCAGTGTAGACATACTGGATGATGTCACCACCGAAAGCACTTCGGTGGCTCCCCAGTGTCCCAGTGGCCTGGCTCCTGCACCCTCCGACTTCATCTTACACCTTGTTCCCTGCCCAGCCACGTGGGCCATCTTTGGCCCCTTCTCCTTTCTGTTTCTGCTGCCACAGGGCCTTAGTACATGCTGTGCCATCTGCCACAGATGGCCCCACTCTCCCTTGACACGCACCCAGCTCATCTTCATCCTTCGGATCTAAACTCTTTCCTGCCCCCTACATCATGTACGCTTGGAACCCTAGTGATCCTGTGACCTCTCCTTATGGTGTTTGGGGAGGGGCTCCCTGAGAGGACACCCCCTCTTTCATCCTCCACTGGCCCTGGGTCCCCAGCGCCCCTTCTAGAGTTCTCCCAATCTCACCCCTCCTCACCACCCAGGGCCACCTGTTGGCATTGCAGGAGTGCCCCCCAGCCCTCCATTCCTCACACCGCCAAGAGCTCTGTATAAGACGCACCCCCCTCCCTTACCTCACCTGTGGTTTTCCCAAGCACCACCAGTAGGGACTTGCTTTAAGTTATGTAACCCAAAAGGTCACTGTCGGGCTCTGGGACCAGGTGGCATGTTCAATGGGCAGCATGAGCATTTGGAGTTTAGTCTGGAAACCCAAAGGCCTGGGACAGGGAGACAGAGCTGAACACATCATCTGCCGTGTGTTCAGGGTTCAAGTGTGCCCAGGGTTTACATCCCCAGAAAGGGAGTGGAGGGTGGTGTTCTTGGCAGAGGTGAATGGGAAGCCCATGTCCTGGGTAGCATGCAACCATCTGTGGTCTGGGTTGATTTCCTCACTCTCCATCTGCGGAGGTGACGCTCCCAAGAGCAGATTGTCAGGGACAGTTTCCCAAGTGGAGAGGCAAGGGCCGCCTCCCTCCAAACAAGATCAGGCAGCCTGGGAGAGGGAGGGACTCCAGGGATAAGTCTGTGCCCGTCTTGGGCAGGGCCCCAGTGGAGTAAAGCAAACCTCAGCCCACATCTGCTCATCACCTGCCCTGTGCCTCTCCAGGGAAGGCTGTGCCCAGCAGGGCCTGGCACATCGTCAGCACTCAATAAATACCTTTTGGATGGCTGACTGCCTGGCTGGACCTAGATATGGCTGGCTGGACAATGGACAGACAGAGGGACAGATGCATGGATGGATGAATGGATGGGTAATGGATTAATGATGGTCAGATGGATGGACAGAGGGGTAGATACATGGATGAAGAGATAAATGGATGGATGATGGACAGACAGACGGACGCATGGATGGATGAATAGATGGATGAGTGCATAGATGGATTAAGGATGGATGAACAGAGACGGATGGATGGACGGACGGATGAACAGATGAATGGATGGGTGGGTGGATGAATAAATGGATGAATGGCTGGCTGGCTGGCTGATGAATGATGGACAGATGGACAAACAGACCGATGGATGCATGGATGACATTGTAATCTTTAAGGACAGAGAAGGAGAATATGCAGGCCTAAGGTGCAAACCAGGTGAGATGGCAACAGCCCAGTCTTAAGGGAAACCTCAGCACCTGGCTGGCAGCCCACTGTGGAGAGTGATTTGAGCAACTCACACCTTGGGGACAGATGGACGTCGGGGAGGGACGTGCTGCTTCGTCTGGAACACCTTTCCCCACTTCTTTGCCTGCCCAACTCCCACTCGGTCGTTTTTTGACTCCCCTGGCATGTCTGTGTCTCACAGAAGCCCCCCGAGGGGCCCTCCTCCCTCTAACCAGGCTAGGACCAGCACCCCCCCCACCGACCACAGCGCCCCTCCAGTGCCGCACAGACCACCCTATTTAGTGATGGTCCATTCACTCCTGCCTCCCCCGTGGGCTGTGGGTCCCTCGAGGGTGAAGAACATACCAGGCTCCCCGTTCCAACCCCAGTGCTAAGCCTGGCACACGGCAGTGCTCAGAAAATGCAGCTGAACCAAGCCAAGTGCACAGAGGAGGGCATCCTAGTCTCCATTCCTGCAGCCGTAAGGCCATGGGGGTTGATCAGAAATACACTCACCCAACTCGGTGCTGTGAAACAAAATCAGAGCCACAAAAGAGAGGCAGGCTCAGAAAGAAAAACACAGAGCTCCCAACATGTGGCTCGATAGACCAGAAAAGCTTCATTATTTACGTAGGGCATCATGAACACAAAGGGCTGTCAGAGGAGTCAACGCAGCGAATCCTGTGCTAGGAATGACCTTTGCTACGTGAAACAGGGGCCCTGAGCTGAAGGGACTTGCCCAGGGTCACACCAGGTCCTGGGGCCGGAGCCAGGGCTGGGACCCCGGGGCGGGCGCCTCGCCCGCCAGTCCGCTTGTCTGCCTTCTGACCACCAAGTGGTTTTCAGGTTGGGGATCTGTTGGCCAGGCCTGCCCAGGTCGGGGAAGACTCATGCCCCCGCACAGAGGGGACAAGAAGGCTCAGAGAGCCCAAGTCACCTACCCAGGCTCACACGGCTCACAGTAAGGTAACAAGGGACTGGCTGGAGAGAGGAGCAGGCCTGGAAGACTTCAGGCCAGGCAGAGACATCATCTCTAGGGTCCCTCGGACCAGCGCCACCCGGACCACTTGTGAACTGGGTGAGCCTCGGAACGCGTATCTCTCAAGTGGCGGTAATAAAGCCTGTCTGCAGGAGGGCCATGCCCATCACACGAAATCCCACAGTCCGGCACCAGCCACGGCACCCAGGAAAGAGAAGGTATGGCCATTCTCACCCCCCAGTGGCATCTTCATGACACCAAAGCACAGTCAAGAGGCCAGAGGCTCAGAGCTTGCTGCAGGGAAGGGTGAAGAGCAAAGACCAGGTTTTCTGTGCATCACCCACAGCTACCCTAGCTGATAGGGGAGGAGTGGAGGTTCCAGGGTGCAGATGGGGCTGAGTGGGGAGTCCCCCCCCCGCCCTGTGCAGGGACCCAGGAGGCAAGGAAGGCAAGGTCACCCACTGGGGTCAAGGTGACCCAGCTAACAACAAATCACCGGCTCCATCCATCGGTGATGGAAAGAGGAAGGGTGTACCACAAAAGTCAGCCTGGCAAGGAGAGAGAAGCCAGACCTTAGGCAGGCCCTGTCTCCTCTCCTCTCACCAGGGGCTGTGCTCCCCACCCCAGCCCTGCCTCCCCGACTCCTCTGGTCTGCTCACTGCTCCCCCCAAACATTCAGCACCAATTTCTGTCACCTGACAACGGGGAGTATCAACCCCACAGACTTTGGAGGCAGACGGGGCTGGATTTGAATCCTGATGCTCCCACCTACTAGCTGTGGCCTCAGATAAATGGTCTCTGAGCTTCGGATTTCTCTTCTGGAAAACAGGAACTGTACATCCCCTGTGGGAAAGGAACCTCGGGCAGAGCCTGGGGCACAGGAGATGTTCAACAGACGTGAGGCATGGGCAGGCTGCTCAGAATCCCCGGGCCAGCCCTACTGAACTTCTGCTAATAGATGCTTCCCTTTCAAACCATAAGCCTGTACGTCCACTCCAGAAAAGAGCTTGCCCATTTCTTAAGCACTGAACATAAATGTAGATATTTATGCAGACCCACTCCTGAGTGGGCAGTGACCCCAGAGAAATGAAAACTTACATCCACACAAAAGTCCATAGCAGCTTTATTCATGATAGCCAACAACTAGAAGCAGCCCAGACATCCCCCCACCGCCCTGGCAAATAGATGACCGGTTAAACAGACTGTGGTACATCCATTCAGGGGTTACAACCCAGCCACAAAAAGCAAGGAACTGCTGATACACAAAACAACTCAGCTGGCTCTCCAGGGCATTATGCTGTGCACAAAAAAAGCCAGTCTCCAGGGGGACATGCTATAGGATTCCATCTATATAACATTCTCCTATGACAAAATTACAGAGATGAGTCCAGACTCAGCTGCCAGGGGCTCAGGGTTAGGGAGACAGGGCAGCGGGTGTGACCATATGAGATCTTTACAGTGAGAAAGTAGTTCTGTTCTTCACTGCAGGGGTGGCACGGTGAATCTACACACGTGACAAAATGCCATCCAACTACGCACGCATATACACCTGACCAATGTCGATTCGAGGTTCTGATATTGTAGCAAAATCATGGGAGGTGTCACCATTGGGGGAAACCGGGTGAAGGGTGGTACACAGGGGACCATGCCGGATTATCTTTGCAAGTCCCTGCGACTCTCTAATTATTTCAAAATTAAATTAAAAAAAAAAATGACATGCATGGTACAATGTCTGCAATTTGCTTTCAAACACTCTAGCCAAATGGGGAAAGCAGCAGCAGAGGGAACCCAGAAGGAGGGGATAGAGCCGCGAAACCTTGCCAGCGAGGACGCTGCAGGGCGGGGAAGCCGGAATCACTGTCTGGTCTTCCCCACTGCTGTGTGTTTTTGAAATTTTCCATAGTAAAGATGTTAAATTAAAAATGCTGATATGCACGGGTGAGTCCATGTCCGCCCAGACAGCTGCGCGCAGGCGTGAGCCCGGGGCACTGACTCAGCGTCCGGCCACAGCCCGGGAACGCTTCCAGACGGCTGTGTGTGTAGACACGCGCACCCAAGGAAATAAATAACGCTTAAC